CGCTCTTTTTAATTTAGATTTAGTGTCGCGAATATCCGAGTTCGGACCTGTTTTGTATTGGTCTGGTTCTTATTGAAAGGCAAGTTACCAGTGCAGTCACTGATAGCTAGCATGTGTGCTAATAACCTAATACCTCTCACTTTTTAGTCGTTCTTTCGTCTACCTAAGTCCTTTAATAAAATAATACCCCTCCGGATCGGCCCAAATAGGACCCTTCCGGACTGGCAGAATCTGGACCCCTCCGGATTGGGACCCTTCTGAGTTAGTTAATATCAGACCCCTCCGGATTTGGACCCCTCCGAATTAGCAACTATAAGACCCCTCCGGATTCGGAACCCTCCTAACTTTAAAAAAATTTTGACCCCTCTGGATTCGGATCCCTCCGGTTTTGTAAAAGTAGCTTTTCGGAGATTTCTTACTTCCAACCGATACCCCTCCGGATACGTTCTCCGATGCAATTTTGCTCTTTCAATTAACTAGGAAGGGTATGTGCTACTTTCCTAGACCCTTCCGGATTGAAGTTAAGCCTCTTATTTCACAATTCACACTAACGGTGAAGGGTCTTATCGCTCGCCTAACTTCGGCTCGATTAAGGTTTTGCTGTGCCTTTAGCCTTCCCTTTTTGTCTAGAACAGCCAAAAGTTACTTTATTCAACCGCTATCACCTTTTAGTAGGGGTATAAGGGCTTTTCTAGAAGAAGTTTATAAAACGTGAATTGAGGAATTTGCTAAAAACAATCTCAAAAAATTTTCACGCTTCTTTTTCCAAAAAAACTTTTGTCCTTATCAGTAAGCTCAGCTAATTTCTGATCTATTGGTACCAAGATCAACTCGATATGTCCAGTAGTTCCAAAGTTATTAACCAAAACGTCTTTTTTCTAAACTCAAAAATTTTTCTCTCTTATAGGTTCCGCCTAACTTTTTCCGCAAATCTGGTCCTTTCGACCTAAAAATTATTGATCCGAGCTCAGAAGGCCTATACTCTTCTAGTTCAATGCAAAAGACCCGATCTAAAACGCTTTTATAGAAAAATTTTGCGAAAAACTATGCTACCTGGACCCCTCCGGATTGATGAATCCACCAAATCAAACACGTTATGTCCGATTTCTCTGCAACCCGGAAGGCTTTCGGGTAGCGGGTTTTAAAACTCGTAGATTCACTAGTGGACGTTGTCCGAACAACTATTTTTACTGTTGTAACTCAAAAATTTCAAAAAATTTTCTAAATTTATAGTGTTTCGTTTTCTCAAAAATCACCAAATTTCGGTTCTCGGTACCAAAGTAGTTCCAACCACTTTCGAACTAAACTTAACCGGTTCTCTCTATTATGGTAGTGCAGTTACGATGTAACACACTAACTTAGCGCTTTTTTCCGTTTCAAAAAATATCGATATTTCAAAAATCGCGACATGTGGGGGGGTCAAAATATCGCTATTTTGACCCTAAAAACCGGTCTATTTTCGTTGTTTTTGCTGAAAAACGATATAAGACTATTAATATAGGCTATATAAATAATAATATTAGTAATACTATACCCCTCCGGGTTTCCTTAATATCCGAATTAAGGTGCTTAACTCGGATATTCGCAGTTCGGTGAAGGGTCACTACAGTCCAGCACTGTCGAGCCCCCCACAGATTACTATCTTAATTTTTGTACCAAAAGGGCTACAAAACTTGTTAACGATACCCAACAGTCGATTGTTGTCGTCGTTGAGCCTCTTCTTGTTGCTCCTTGTACTGCTTGCCGGATCAGTCTTCTCCCAAGACCCTTCCGAATTGAGCGCAAATCAGCTGATCCTTCCGGATTGAGCGCAATTTATCATTAACGTGCTTAAATGCTCAAATAACCCTACAGTACAAGCCTCACAAACGGGCTACAAAACTGATCGTAACAATCCTGACTGATATAAATGCCTGTAACAACAATATATCTATCAACAACAAACGGGAGGGTCGGATCACATCTTGTCTGGGGGGATGATTTCTACTATTTTTTTAAACTTTTTTTTACTGTTTTTTTATTTTTTTTCTGTTATTCTTAATACTTTTTGTTTTTCTGGCACTATATTACTTTTTGTTTGGTTTGATATATATCTTTAAGTGTTTTTGGTCACAAACCTCTCAGGGAACGAGGGGACGGCCTATCCCCCCACCCTTCCTGAAAGGTGAATTTTCGGTCTTAACTAGGTTAAAAAGCTATTCACGGTAATCCGGAAGGCTTTAGGGTTTCGAACTACCCTTCCGCCCCGGCGGTTAGGGCCTATTAACGGCGTTATTATGAGCATCCGCTCGGCAGGGAGGGCTCGTTAACGGTTCTGTCGGTCATGATGTTAAAAAAGAATAACACCCAGGAGCGCCATAAAAACATACATGTAACATTCGCCCGGAAGATACATATCGACGGAAAACAAAACTAAGTCTTAAGACGACTGGCTAGCGTCTAAACAGAGCTTTGCATGCTTTTCACCGTCTCTACCAAGCCAGTACTTTTCGGTGGTCTTTCTAACATCGGGTCGACAAAAACGTTACTGCTTTCGGCTTCGGTCAAAACACTCAAATTAACTAGATTACATGCAGAAATAGTGAGCTCATGGCTGGGTCTCAGGATCCCCAGACCACGAGGTCACTCCTAAAAACAGGGCTACTACTTATTATATTACTATTGTTTTTGTTCAGTAGATAAAAATCATCATCTCCATCGAAGATGGATCAACCCTTTCCCCCAACCCCTAGCTTCTCATCCTTATCAAAATGAATCCAGATATTAATTAAATTCAAGTCAGGACATGACAGGAAGCTAAAAGTTTATGCAACAGGATAAAAGTTTCAGTTCCTTTACCCTTCCGGATTGATGAATCCGCTGGATCAAGCTCGCTAATCCTGATTTTCTCTTAATCCGGAAGGCCGTCTCTCACCCTTCACCGTTGTTCGCAACGGCCTTGCAACTATTGTAGCAGCACAATAGTTGCAACTCGGAGTGTTCTTCTGTTACTCTGTAACTCGTTGTCGTTTTCCGATCTCAATTTCGTTGTTGTTGCTAGCGCAGCTAATTTTGTTCTCTTTTTCTTTCTCGTTTCTGTCAAAATGGCCGTTTCTGACGTTTCTCAGAAATATGACGTCATAATTCGAATTTTTGAAATTTTAAAATACCAGAATATTCTGGCCCTCACCGTTTGGCCAATCGTTCCAATAACGTTCTTAACTCTTAATAATCATCAATCTGGAAGGCTTACTGGTAAAAATTCGAAGTCTGCATAAATTGCATTTTGTCCATTCTGGTCGAATGTCACAAACATCGGGTCGACAAAAACGTTACTGTTCTTCGGCTTCGACCAGAACGCTCAAATTAACTTAATTACATGCAAAATTAGTGAGCTCATGGCTGGGTCTCAGGATCCCCAGATCACGAGGTCACTCCTAAAAACAGGGCTACTACTTTTTATTATATTACTATTGTTTTTGTTCAGTAGATAAAAATCATCATCTCCATTGAAGATAGATCAAACCTTTCCCTCAACTCCTAGCTTCTCATTATCTGCAAATGAATCTGGATGTTAAATAAATTCAATTCAGGACATGACTAGGAAGCTAAAAGTTCGTATGAAACCGTTTAAGTTCAGGTCTCGAGACCTCTCCGGATTCCTGAATCCGGGGAAGTAACACCCTTATTTCCTTTCCGGAAGGCTGGCCACGCTGTCCCAACACCCTGTCCCACACCCTGTCCCACACAGTTTGCGTGAATTGCTCTGTAACCATTGTAGCGACACAATCGTTACAACTCGGATCAATCTCTGATAATACTCTGTCATCGGTCGCTACTTCTCTCGTACTCGTGTTGACGTTTCTCAGAAGTGTGACGTCACCATTCGAATTTTTAAAATTTAAAAATTTCCAGAATCTTCCGCCTTCACGATTCGTCCAATCGTTTAAATAACGTTGTTAAAACCGTCAATCTTCCAGGTCAGCAAGTACGAATACAAATCTGCATTTTCGTACATTCTGGTCAAATGTCACATGATCGTCACGATAAGAGGCTTCGTGTTGTATATCTTTCTCGTCCGACTGTTTTTCACTATTTTAGCTGTTGTTGTGTTTTTCGTCACTTTTCAATCAAAAACTGGCCATTTTTCGTATTTCTCAGAAATATTCATTCGCCAATCGAAATTTAAAATTACCGAATATTCTGACCCTCCTTTGCAATAATTTCCAACCATTAAGGCCTCTAGTCCTATTTTCGTACTGTGTCGGAAGGTTGCGCTGTGCCAGTCTGACAGAATGGCACATACATTGACCGAGACCAAATGATCAGAGCTATCATTATTTGCTGGGTATGAATCCTTGTTATATCATAGGCAATGGCTTTTTATAAAAATTGCATCAATAATTTTTCAAGGATATCGACTGGAATACGTGATGAAGGGACTCCTGACTGTAACCTCGGTTACTATGATACTTTTGACCTTCTAATTACCCCACGAAAAAAAAAATTATAAAAAAATATCAATAATTTTTCAGCCAACAATATCTTCATTAGAATGCATTTAATTAGTTCATTTTTCGTATGAGATAGAACACTTTTCTATTTAATTTTGTTTTGCAAGTGGTGCGAAGATCTGCTTCCTCGGTGTATAGTTTTAGCATTTTGAGGGACTAGTTATCGGGATCAAAATTTCGGGTTCCAAGAACAAAACACATAGGCTATCTGGCCGCAAAATTTCTTTTCGGCTATCCGGGAACAATTTTTTCCCGCATTCGCCACCGTGACATGCCAACGTTTATTCCGGGACTTTTTTCGCCTAGCTGTGATGGCGATCTGGCCCCTCGGTATTCATGCACCTTTTGATAGAAGTCTTCATGGATAGTAAGGTGTGTGTCGCAATAATTTAGTGATTTGTTTTCAGAACTACAGTATTCAAAATGGTCAAAACTGGTGCTGAAAAAAAAACTGATGCTGAAGGAAAAGTTAGCAAAAGGGGAGCAGCCCTTGCTGTTGATGTTCAGCTCTCAGAAGATTTAGCTGCTGTAATTGGGGCATCAGCAATGCCCAGAACCCAAGTTGTGAAAAAATTGTGGGCTATATTCAAGGAAAGAGGAATTCAGGACCCAAAAGACAGGCGATACATTAATCTGGCCGATCAAGATGATCTCAAAAAGATATTTCAAAACGTTGAAAACGACCGATTGTATGGGTTCGGTTTGCTGAAACATCTGAAGGAGCATATGAAGACTATGTAAAGATAGCTCAAATGCTTCTCTAAAACTCAAGTCTTATTTGTTGCGACTTTGAAATTTGAGAATCTCTTTGTTGACGGACTTGATTGATGTCATTTTATTTATGTTGTTGTTAACTGTTTCAACATGCCTTTTGATTTGATTGCATGATTACATTGATTAGAAACTTCAGCGGTGCAAAAATGATGTGATTCTTGTATCTTCACAACTATTTTATTTACTCTTCTGATTTATGTTCTGTTTTAACAAACTTGTTTTTATCACTTTGGAAATGCTTCGAGATTGAAAATGGCTGAAAAATTTTTTAGACCGATCTCTAAAGAATCTAGCTGAGACATGAAAATTACATCTAATTGAAGGAATAATCATTGTAATTTTTAGACTTGTGACAACAAGCAAATTTGAGTTCATAATTTCAGACAGAGCCAAAATGGTCAAAGCTAAAGTTGAAACCACCGAACCCAAAGTAGTAAGCAAGAGGGGAGCAGGCTTGACCGCTGATGTGAAACTCTCAGCCGATTTGGCAGCTGTCATCGGGGCATCAACAATGCCCAGAACTCAGGTTGTGAAGAAAATGTGGGCCATTTTCAAGGCGAGAGGGATCCAGGATCCGAAAGACAAGAGATACATAAAACTCGCAAATCAGGATGACCTCAAAAAGATATTTCCGAATGTTGAAAATGAGCGTCTCTACGGATTTGGCCTGCTGAAACATCTCAAAAGCCACATGAAGACTATGTAGAAAAATGTGACCGCTGGAAAATAGAAATAGAGTCTGGAAACACAAAATTTCTATTAAGACAGACTTGATTGATGTCATTTTACTCTAATGTTGGTTTCAAATCAACTTGCCCCACTTTGATTTATTGCATGATTTTAAGGAAGAGGTTTAGCGGTGCAATATTAATGTGATGATTGTAAGTTCACAGCTATTTTATTTACACTTCTTATTTATTTTGAGTTTTAAAAATACCATTTTTGCCATTTAAGCAATGAGTACATGTGTTGTTGATATTGTAAAATTGCCAGTTTTTTGCTTTGGTTTCTTTTAACTCATATGAAAATTGGTCTATAAGGAATATCTTTAACGAAAAAGATGCTGCTTAGAACTAAACGAACAATGAAATGCAATTTGGAAGTTACATGAAGCCAAAGCGTTACAAGAGTCTGGCAACACTAAACATTGCTGGGAGCTTTTAATAAACGTTTTCGTCTTAACTTTTTCATTTCTAGAAAATAAGTGTTCATCTCCAATTTGATAGAAAATATTTCCTATCCAATACTTCAAGTCAATCTTGAAGATTTTTTTTTGCAATTGAATTAATTTGTTTAATTATTTTACATTGGTTTTAATTAGAGTATAGATTGTTTAACTTACGAACTACGCATATCCACCCCTAGCTTTAAGTGTAAGCGTGAACGATTTGAAACCTTTTTCTCTCGAATTTGGGAAAATGTTAAGCTAATTTTTTTAATGCAGCTCGAAGTACGACTGAAAGCACTTAAATATGATATACATATCAATCAACTTCGAACGTGTTTCTCCTTAGAAAACTAGAGGTAGAAAACTAGAAAACGGGGTACTGTATGTGGGTTTTAATAATTTATACACAAGAAAGTAGTAGAAACACTTGAGGCTGTTAAATATTGAAAAAAAAATCAAACTTAAACGTTCTTTAACTCTTCTATTAACACTGGGTAAATGTTTTGGTATTTTTTAAACGGTTGAAAGAAATTGATTGTTTAATCAGTCGATTTTTAATTAAATTTCTACTACAGTGGGCGGAATATTTAAAAAACGAGTTACTCTTCTTTTTTGATAATTTTCATACTAAGAAGTAGTAGAAATCCTTTGAGGCTGTTGAAATTTTGAAAAATATCAAATTTCTAGCCTTTCTTTTTTTTATTAGTTGGCGAGTTTTTTTTATTAGTTGAACTGTTCATGCACATCATACGATATGCGAAACTCGATAACTCATTCTTAATAGGTGAGATCAGAATTCTCCCTTGCGTACAAAAAAGCTGATTGATTCCAGACTGTGCAAGTGCAAGAGAGAGATGTTTTCTGAGAACTATCAGATTTTAAGTAAAAAGAAGATGCAATCCCTTTGGGTCTTCAACCTGCATGATAATTTTTCTAAAATATCTTGAGTACACTTTATGCAGAGTCTATTCGAGTTGCCAAAAACCAGCTTGTATTTGCTTAGTTTCCTCAAATTGAATTGTTTGATTAGTAAAAAAAAGTCGCTTCTATTAGTAAAAAAAAATCTCTGAGTTTTAATGTTTTTATGAAACCTTTTTTTTTCGGCGCAGTGGATGTCTGCTCAATTAATTTCGGCTCTGTTAGCAATTAGTAAATTTGGCTCCGTTTTATTTAAAATTGGGAATTATTCTACGCGGAATGTTTTAATCATAATGATTTTGGTTCAAGGGGAATAGAGACAAACAAATGACAATTGTGGTAGATCTAGTTGTTTATTGACATGTTTGCGTTTTTTTTTTGAGTTTCGTCTAGTTTTCTGTCGGCTAGTTTGTCTCATGCTTTGCCTATTTTAAAAATTTCATTCAAGTAAATTTCTCTTACGTTAAATTAAGCTCATGTGTTTCAAGCTAAGTAATATCTGTAGTGCGCTCAACTTTTTTTAAGCAAAAAAAAATCAGATTTTCTCGAATAATTTTTATTCTCACAGCGAGCATAATTCTAGCCGGGGTAAGTTTTTTGTTTTTTCTGCATCTCTCGCATTTGGGGCTTGTGTATAGGCTATTGTTACATATGCGAGAGCAAATGTTTTGTAATCTGAAACTAGACTTTTTGCCGCAAATAAGTTTTCTGCAAATCTGTAAGAAATTGAACTTGCATAATTATTGATATTTAACATGTTCATGTCGCTTCACGCAGATACGATATGTGGAAACTGGTACGAAGAGTGTTTGAGATTAAACGAGTGGTATAGTTAATACCGCAATTATACGATTTTACGAAAGCAATATTTTTTTTTTCAATTGAGGAGATCAGATTTTTTCCGTGCGTACACAAAGGCTGACTGATTCAGGACAGTGCAAGTGCAACAACGATTTTTTTTCTGAGACAATTCACTTAAAAACAAGAATAGCCGGTTACTGGGCAAGTAGCACAGAATGTTCGACAATAGTCTTAAAAGAAACCGAAATTTTTTTTTCAAGTACTTAGGCATAATCAACAGTCATAAAAAAATACTCAAATTAGAAAACAGTTGTTGTAGACACATGAATTGAAAAACAAACAATGTGTACAAAAATCACAAAAAAACTATTTTTTGCAGAAATTTTTTGAGTTTTGAAAAAATATGTTCGAAAGTTTTTGATTCCGGAATAGAGCAAACAAACGTCAAAAACTACTTTACTCTAGTAAAACTAAGTTTTCACGGCTTATGCTAGCTCACCTTATTCGCTCAAATTAATACCAAAATCAGATTTTTTAAATGGGCTTTTCTTTTAAAAAATTCTAAATATCGTTCGAATCACGACTGAAAGGGTTTTAATATGATATATCACTCGACACGTTCCGATGATTGTTTGTGGTACCTAATTTTTCTATTAAAACACAAAAGAAAAATTTAAAATACCAATTAATGGTTGGGCCAATTATGATATGAAGTTCAATTCATACGATAAAACTGGTTCTATGCAAAAGCTATAAAATACGATTATACGCTTACAATATGCAGATTAAAATTTTAAACGTTTTTTTTTGAAAAACGCAAACTGCAACTGCGTATCTGTAACTCTGTTTCAAAATTTAATAAGGTCCTTCGAATCACGTCTGAAACGGCTTTCAAATGATATATCACTCGATATGTTCCGGTAATTAATTGTGGTGCCTGATTTTGTGTGGAAAACAAAAAAGGAAAAAATTAAAACACACCCGATTACAAAGTTCTTCTCTATTGTCATTGGTTGAAACAATTAGGATATGCAGTTAGATTCATAAGATAATACGTTTTCCATGCAAAAGCTATAATAAATGATTATAAGCTTTCCGATAAGCAGATAGTAATTTTTATCGTTTTTTTTTCCATTTTCATTCAATATACTGGTTCAAGTTCTTGGATTTCGCCTAGGTTTAGAATCTGCAACTCCGTATCTGTAAAAGCAAATGCTTTTTGGCGTTCTATATCGTTTAGCTAATTTTATTTTAATTGAAGTTTTCCTACTAACAATTGCCGGAGATTGTTCTTGTTGAATTGAAGCGATTTTTTGGGTTTATGTAAGATAATCTGATTGTTTTAGTTTAATCAGCTTAAGTCCCGTTCTTATAATGCTTCGCATCTGTGTTAACTTCACTATGGCTCCCTTTCCTTTCGAACTCCTTGGGTGCTGTACAATTTTCAGTGTGGTTTGTTGCCGGAAGAGTAAGATTTTGCAGCCATTCAAAATGAGCCAAGCAATAAATTTCGCAGTTAGTTCGAGATCTCATATCGGTTTAGTTTTGATGGTTACTGGCCAACAAACCTTTTATTTTTCGCAGTCAGATTGTCGTTCCAAACTGATGCCATCTTGACAGACGTTGTGTGGGATTTATTTGACGCTTTCCTCCATTCTGTCACCATTTCCAGCAGCGGAGTTCTTTCTCGACCTAATTTCGGCTGGGCTGTTCTAACTTGGTCAGTTGAACAGTATTAACTCGGTTGGTTGGTCAATTCCGTCGGCAAATATTAGCATTGCCATTGTGTCACAGCTTAAACCCAACCAATAAGCCTGCTCGCTCTTTATATGTCATTACCCGCATTCAGTACGCGTTGAACGTACTTATGGTTGGCACAAAATCGGATGTCGGATGTAAAGTTTATCGAGTTGATAGTTAGCCACCGAATAGTTTGTTCTAAGAGCAGCTAGCTAAAACTAACACTAACCTTCGCCTTAAACTCGATTTCTGTGCGCCATTTTGCCCATATTGTTTGACTCACATTCATTTGTCGTGACCCTCTCTTTCTTGATGCATAAACCAATAGACCAGTTGGCCTGTTAGTGATATCAAACAAAAGCAGCGGAAAACTTCTCGACTTGTAGTTTAAGGTTAGTCTTTTGCTCAATAAATTAACTCAACTTCCTTCACAAAAGATATCTCAAATTTGCCCTCTATCAGCTAAGTCAAAACATAAAAGCTTCCTTTCTTTTGTACCATTTTAGCGCGGAAATAGCGCGGCTCAACTTTAAAAGAGGGAAAGCTTGAAAAACACTACGCTTTGATTTGAAAGCACTCCATCCTTTATATCGTTACTTGTAATTTATTGTTTTACGATTCCGTCGATACTATTTTTACTCGGATAAACAAACTTTTCTTTTTATAGGAAACCGAGACAATGTCTGGGCTGTGAATTATCCCTGACTTTTGTTTTATCGGGTTTTGTTCAGTTTTTTATAGTTTCCTATTTGCTGGGCTTAAAATTTCTCAAATTAGGACCCTAACTATTTCTTTATTTTGCCCGAGTGGCATCGAAAAGAATCCCGGAATACACGATTTGTTCACGTTTTCGAAACTAAACGACTTCTATATTTCTCGAATAAATCAATAGCGACTACAAAGTTTTGGATATTGTAAGGTAAGATTCTTTTTAAAGTTATTTCGGCAGATAAAAAACTATACTTAGTTGTTCTACGTTTTATAAGTCGACTGTACAATGCTGATAGTGCAACACTTGGGTTTTTCTCCTTTCGAGATTTTCTGCCGATTATGAAGCCTAGATTCAGCAGCGTTCGCAG